GAGGACTGAGCACGCCTCCATTCTCATCGACGGGGCTGTAGTGGAACAGGTTGAGAGCTTCAAGTTCCTTGGTGTGCACATCACCAACAAACTATCATGGTCCAAATACACCAAGACAGTCGTGAAGAGGGCACGACAAAGCCTATTTCCCCTCAGGAGACTGAAAAGATTTGGCATGGGTCCTCAGATCCTCAAAAAGTTCTACAGCTGCACCATTGAGAGCATCCTGACTGGTTGCATCACCGCCTGGTATGGCAACTGCTTGGCCTCCGACCGCAAGGCACTACAGAGGGTAGTGCGTTACGGCCCAGTACATCACTGGGGCCAAGCTTCCTGCCATCCAGGACCTCTATACCAGGCGGTGTCAGAGGAAGGCCCCCAAAATTGTCAAAGACTCCAGCCACCCTAGTCATAGACTGTTCTCTCTGCTACCGCACGGCAAGTGGTACCGGAGTGCCAAGTCTAGGTCAAAAAGACTTCTCAACAGCTTCTACCCCCAAGCCATAAGACTCCTGAACAGCTAATCATTGCTACCCGGACTATTTGCACTGCCCCCCCACCCCATCTTTTTACGCTGCTGCTACTCTGTTTATTATTTATGCATAGTCACTTTAACTCTACCCACATGTACATATTACCTCGACTAGCCGGTGCCCCCGCACATTGACTCTGCACCGGTACCCCCCTGTATATAGCCTCCCTACTGTTATTTTATTTTACTGCTGCTCTTTATTTATTTGCTTTTATCTTTTTTACTTAACACTTTTTTTAAAAAATCTTTAAAAAATGCATTGTTGTTTAAGGGCTTGTAAGTAAGCATTTCACTGTAATGTCTACACCTGTTGTATTCGGTGCATGTGGCAAATAAAAATTGATTTGAGTCATGTATATCCCCTGTCGCAGGCGGAAACGGAGGCTATGGAAACATACGTCTCCGACTCCCTGCGTCAGGGGTTCATACGTCCCTCCACTTCACCTGCCTCCTCTGGTCTCTTTTTCGTGAAGAAGAAAGACGGGGGTCTGCGCCCTTGCATTGATTACCGTGCACTTAATAAAACGACCATTCGCTATAGTTATCCTCTACCCCTCATTTCCTCTGTGATCAAATCAATGCATGGGGCGCGCTTCTTCACGAAATTAGATCTCAGGAGTGTGTACAACCTGGTGCGTGTCCGGGAAGGGGACGAGTGGAAGACAGCATTCAGCACAACCACGGGGCATTACAAATACCTGGTGATGCCTTACTGTTTGATGAATGCTCCATCAGTCTTCCAGTCCTTTATGAACGAGGTGTTTCGGAACATGCTTGGTCGCGGTGTGGTGGTCTACATCGATGACATTCTGGTGTATTCCGCTACGCGCGCCGAGCATGTGTCCCTGGTTCGCAGAGTGCTGGGCCGACTGTTGGAGCATGACCTGTATGCCAAGGCAGAAAAGTGTCTGTTTTTCCAACAATCCGTCTCCTTCCTTGGATACCACATCACCACCTCAGGTGTGGAGATGGAGGGAGACCGCATTTCAGCCATGCGTAATTGGCTGACTCCAACCACGGTAATGGAGGTGCAGCGCTTCATTGGCTTTGCCAATTACTATCGGAGGTTTATCTGGGGCTTTGGCAAGGTCGCATATCCCATCACCTCTCTGTTGAAGAGTGGCATTCGTAGTGGAGGTGGATGCATCCAAGGTAGGGGTAGGCGCTGTGCTATCCCAACGCTCGGGCACGCCACCCAGAACTATGACGTTGGTGATCGGGAGCTGTTGGCTGTTGTCAGAGCCCTGACACCCTTTCCTCGTATGGACTGACCACCGTAACCTGGAGGACATCCAGGCAGCGATGAGACTGAACCCTCGCCAGGCCAGGTGGAACTTGTTCTTCACCCGGTTTGATTTCACGTTGTCCTATATACCAGGCACTAAGAACGTCACGGCTGTATGACACAGAGGAGAGGCTCATTGACAACACCCCCATACCTCCGGCCTCCTAGATTGTGGCGCCGGTGGTGTGGGCGGTGGACGCGGACATAGAACGGGCGTTACACACAGAGCCATCTCCACCTCAGTGCCCATCTGGGCTGCGGTACGTGCCGTCTAGTGTCCGTGATCGTCTTATCTATTGGGCACACACGTCCCCCTCCTCTGGTCACCCAGGCATCGACCGTACAGTGCGCTGTACTGGTGGCCTACCTTGGCTAAGGACGTGAGGGTGTATGTCTCCTCCTGCTCGGTGTGCGCCCAGAGTAAGGCACCTAGGCACCTTCCAGCGGGTAAGTTACATCCCTTACCAGTTCCACAACGGCCATGGTCCCACTTATCGATTGACTTTCTAACTGATCTTCCCCTCTCTCAGGGTAACACCACCATCCTGGTCGTTGTGGACCGCTTCTCTAAAGCTTGACGCCTTCTTCCTCTGCCCGGTCTCCCCACGGCCCTGCAAACTGCGGAAGCCCTGTTTACTCACGTCTTCCGGCACTACGGGGTGCCAGAGGACATAGTGTCTGACCGGGCTCCCCAGTTTACGTCTAGGGTCTGGCATTCATGGAACGTCTGGGGGTCTCTGTCAGCCTGACCTCTGGGTTTCACCCCGAATCTAATGGGCAGGTGGAATGGGTGAATCAGTATGTGGGTAGGTTCCTGCGGTCCTACTGCCAGGACCGGCCGGGGGAGTGGTCAGTGTTCTTGCCATGGGCGGAATATGCCCAGAACTCTCTCAACCACTCCTCCACTAACCTGTCACCATTTCAATGTGTTTTAGGGTATCAGCCGGTCCTGGCACTGTGGCATCAGAGCCAGACCAAAGCTCCTGCGGGAGGTCCCTCCGCCCCCTCTGGACATTGAGGGGGCCCCGGCGTACCCGTCCGTTCCATCCCGGATTTGAGGCGTCGGGTGGGGGGCCTTCAGTACCTCGTGGAGTGGGAGGGCTACAGTCCGGAGGAGCAGTGCTGGGTCCCGGTGAAGGATGTCCTCGATCCCTCCCTGTTGCGGGATTTCCACCGTCGCCATCCGGATCGCCCTGCTCCGCGTCCTCCTGGCCGTCCCCGAGGCCGGTGTCGACGCTCTGCTGGAGCTCCGACTGTACTACTGTGTTCTTTAGATACTGAGAGGAGAATAGTGGTGGTGCATTGTTAGATATTCTATATTACCTTGGACATTTAGCAGACGCTTTTATCCAAAACTATTTAAAGTTACTCCCGAGTGGCGCAGTGGTCTAAGGCACTACATCTCAGTGCTTGAGGCGTCACTACAGACCCCCCTGGTTCGATTCCAGGCTGTATCACAACCGGCCGTGATTGGGAGGCCCATAGGGTGGCGCACAATTGGCCCAGCGTCGTCCGGGTTTGGCCGGTGTAGGCCGTCATTGTAAATAAGAATTTGTTCTTAACTGGCTTGCCTAGTTAAATAAAGGTCAAATTATTTTTTATTTTTAAATTACACAGTAATCCGACTTGCCACAACTGAAGTTCCTTCTGGAAAAATAAAGTAATTCCATTTTATTCTATACATAGGCTGTATTCTGTATGGCTCATATATAAATCAAACCTACAAGTCACTGGTGTGTCTATCAAACCTACAAGTCACTGGTGTGTCTATCAAACCTACAACTCACTGGTGTGTCACTAGTGTTTTTAACCGGACCACATGGGTCAGTTGATGTGTTTTAGTATTAAGGGGCACTTGTTTTTGATCATTTTAGTGATATTAACCCTGTATATTCTTGAAGAATATCACTTCATGCCTCATGAGCTTGGGAGTCTGAGGTGTTAAGTTGCTGATTGGATGATAGTTGTGGGAAGGATGCCATGACTGGAGCTACAGTCGCCACTAGTTAGTGGAGTTACATGGGGCAGGAGAGGGGTTCCCCAGAGGTGAGTTGACCAGACCCTGGAGGTGGGAGCAGGGTTCAGTGTGTTTAGTGGGACTGAGGGGTATGGGGGCTGTCGGTATCAGGCTGTTTGTGTGTGTGTGTGTGTTAAGTGGAACTGAGTGGGGGCTGTTGGGCTGAGAGGGGGGTCATTCGGTGGGGCTGCAATGTCCATAGCGATTGGGAGGTGCTGGCCAGGGGGACTAGAGGGCAGTGGCCAGAAGGAGGTGGGGGGTGGAGAGGTCAGAGTGAGCATCTGGATTGGATTGTAGACATTCCTGTGGAAGAGTGTCTGAGCAAAGGTCAAAGGAGGGAGGGGACACTGGGAGATATGTGCATTGCTAGGAGGCAGGGTAAGGCAGTGTGGTTATGCAACATTCATGTGGTTGGATATTATAGGACAATTCAGAGAGTATGCCATATGTACTCCTCTAACCCGTCCCTGTATTAAACAGAGCCATTGCCTTGCCTAACCAAACCTTCACTGACTCGCTCTGTTCATTGGTCAATCACATTATTACAAGTTGTTAAAAACACTGAATTACTTTGCTTTTACAATATAAATAATTGGCATTGACTATACCGATCACATAGCGGTAATATTATATGAAATAAGTGTATTTGATATTAAAACCCACGTTCACTATCTCTGTGTGCAGGTCGGAAGTCTGTGGGAATAGAGCCATTGCACTCTCTCCAAGTATGATTGGCTGAATACTAGGGCTGGGAATTTCCAGGGACCTCAGGATACAATATTATCATGATACTTTGGTGTCGATACAATATGTATTGTGATTCGGTACTGTAATTTTATTGTGATTCGATGTTCCATATTGCTCACTATGTCTGCTGCAGAGAGACAAGAGGCATCAGTCAGGGAAATAAAAGTGCTGAAAACCAATTGGCTCCCTATTTAAAAAGAAGACGGAGAACAAGCTATGAAGGAGTTTTGGTGCAGGCAGGTACAGCCACCTAGTGCAAAAATAATGTTGCGATATTGTCAAAACAATACGATACATTATCAAAAATAATATCCCAATATGGAACTCTATAGATTTTTTCCACCATCACTATTGAATAGCTAACCATGTCCTTCTCTGATTGGTTGTCTGTGCAGGTGGGAGGTCCGTGGGCTGCAGCCATGCTGTCCCTGGACGAGCCATTGGACCTAATGCTCCCCCGAGGGTGTGTCAACGGGCGGGACAGGGGTGCACGGTCGCCCCTCACCCTCTCTCCGATACCCTCCAAGCGTGCCCGGCAGCTCCGCATGGCTGATGATGGCACAGCCGTCATAGTGCCCGCCTCCCCGGCCTCGCCGCACACAGGTGGGTGACAACACACCCACCCCCCCACACACACACACACACAGGTGGGTGACACTGTGCACACACAGAGGTGGGTAACACAGGGGCTCAACAGCAGTACAAATTCCCATATTCTGTTCATCGCTGACATGGCATTAGATAGGACAAACTAACAACATAAAAGCTGACCTCATACTTGAACAAGTTGTTATGAACACAAAGAGAAGAGTGGGTGAACCCATAGCTGTAACAGACTGCCAATCAATCCCTCTAACCAGATCACACACCCACAGGTGTTAGATACTCTGACCGACCGATCTGACAGAGTCTGACCTCCCTCCCCCTTCCACAGGTGTGCCGGTGGTCTCCCAAGAGAGGCCAGAGACACCCCCCACCCCCCCGGCCGTGGACCTCAGTATGTCCCCCTCCTCCCGCCACACCTCCAGCTCCCCAGAGATGACCAACGGAAACGGGGTCTCCCACCACATCATTGCAGGGGTGAGTAGAAACCATCTGACAGTACGGACACTTCTGAATTGAGAGAGAGGAGAGAGGAGGAGGAGGAAGAGGAAGAAGCAGAGAGAGAGAGAGATGCTTCCGCGCCAATCCCAGCTGTATCTGTTAGAACTAATACCCTGTCACACTGTCCTCTCCCCAGTAGATTAGCTTTCATGAGAAAAGGCGAGGCGGCACGACACCAATGAGTCAGGAACACAGCGAGAACAAGAGGGCTCACACACACTATAAACTACGTCTCAGAGAGAGAGAGAGAGACAGAGACAGAGACAGGACAGAGACAGAGAGAGAGAGAGATGACTGTAACTGGACCACAATCCTGTGGCTGTCTAACAGGCTCCAGCTATGTCAAAAATTTGCATGTGACAAATCTTATAAAATGAGACCAATTCCCGGCACTCAGCTATGCTTCTGCATTCATCAGTGTGTATGTGTGCGTGCGCTTGTGTCTATGTTTTGGCAGTTGTATGTGTCTATGTTTTGGCAGTTGTGTGTGTGTGTGTGTGTGTGTGTGTGCATGCATTTATGTATATGTGTGTGTGCACGGTTGTATGAGTGTGTGTGTGCCCATGTTTGTGGGAGTGCTTGTCTGGGACTTACAGGGAGGCAGAATGGCCACAGCCAGCAGCTCTCAATACAATTGGGAGCGAATTGAATTAGGCGGCGTGAGGTCTGCATGGCTGTACCTCGCTGTAAATCTGATTATACACACACACACACACACACACACAATGCCTGAGGCCACTGAGTGCAAGTAACACAGAGAGAGAGAGAGAGACAGAGCGACAGCTTGTTATACAGAACACAGGACACAAAAAAAAGTGCCCCCCCCCCCCCCCCCCCCCCCCCTTAAAAAGTGTCACACTTCCCTTATGTGAAGTGTGACAGGGGTGTTAGGAGCTGCTCTGTGCCCCTAATGTTGCCTGTGTGCTGCTGGCACTAACCAGGCTGAGTCAGAGGACACGGCCCGGGATAGAAGGCTCTCATTACAGACCAAGGGTCCATCCAGTCACAGCACCACTGTTGGATTTTATAATGACTTAAGCCAAATATGAATGTTCTCACCACAGAGTGGAAGGAGAGGGACAGGAGAAGGAGATGGAGAGGGACAGGAGAAGGAGAGGGACAGGAAAAGGAGAGGGACAGGAGATGGAGAGGGACAGGAGATGGAGAGGGAAAGAGAGAAAATGGTGAAAAGAATGGGAGCAGAAAAGAATGGGAGCAGATGTTGTTCTGTGGGGCTGCTGACTGAGTGTAGTAGAGGGAACAGACAGACATTCTAACCTCTAATCCTCCTCTTCCTCCTCTTCCTCCTCTCTCTCAGGACTCAGCTCACATCCGTTACGTGGAGAGCAGAGCCTCCTCGCAGGCCTTCCAGTTCTTCGTGCCGATTGGTGCTGGGGCCGGACTCCACCTGCCGTCATCCATGTTCATTGGCCAGCCCAACGACAAGCGGGCCTCTCCCGATCTCTCAGCAGACGAACAGCTGGCCTGTCGCTGGAGGAAGGTGAGACACAGGAGTGATGCAACAGGGGAAACATTTTAGCCTGGGCCCAGATCGGTTTGTGTTGTCTTGCCAACTGCTATGTAATCGTCATTGTTGAGTTGGCAAGCCAGCACAAACAGATCTGGGACCAGGCTAGAACCAGTTTTGCTCTGTAGCCAGGTGTTACCATGACTAGACACTACAAAGTTAATTGTTTTAACATTTGGCAATGACAGTGGTGGATGTTAAACCTTCTCTTTATTTAACCAGGTAAGCCAGTTGAGAACAAGTTCTCATTTACAACTGCGACCTGGCCAAGATAAAGCAAAGCAGTGAGATAAAACAACACAGAGTTACATATGGAATAAACAAAACGTACAGTCAATAACACAATAGAAAATATACACTGCTCAAAAAAATAAAGGGAACACTTAAACAACACATCCTAGATCTGAATGAATGAAATAATCTTATTAAATACGTTTTTCTTTACATAGTTGAATGTGCTGACAACAAAATCACACAAAAATTATCAATGGAAATCAAATGTATCAACCCATAGAGGTCTGGATTTGGAGTCACCCTCAAACTTAAAGTGGAAAACCAAACTACAGGCTGATCCAACTTTGATGTAATGTCCTTAAAACAAGTCAAAATGAGGCTCAGTAGTGTGTGTGGCCTCCACGTGCCTGTATGACCTCCCTACAACGCCTGGGCATGCTCCTGATGAGGTGGCAGATGGTCTCCTGAGGGATCTCCTCCCAGACCTGGACTAAAGCATCCGCCAACTCCTGGACAATCTGTGGTGCAACGTGGCGTTGGTGGATGGAGCGAGACATGATGTCCCAGATGTGCTCAATTGTATTCAGGTCTGGGGAACGGGCGGGCCAGTCCATAGCATCAATGCCTTCCTCTTGCAGGAACTGCTGACACACTCCAGCCACATGAGGTCTAGCATTGTCTTGCATTAGGAGGAACCCAGGGCCAACCGCACCAGCATATGGTCTCACAAGGGGTCTGAGGATCTCATCTCGGTAGCTAATGGCAGTCAGGCTACCTCTGGCGAGCACATGGAGGGCTGTGCGGCCCCCCAAAGAAATGCCACCCCACACCATGACTGACCCACCGCCAAACCGGTCATGCTGGAGGATGTTGCAGGCAGCAGAACGTTCTCCACGGCGTCTCCAGACTCTGTCACGTCTGTCACATGTGCTCAGTGTGAACCTGCTTTCATCTGTGAAGAGCACAGGGCGCCAGTGGCGAATTTGCCAATCTTGGTGTTCTCTGGCAAATGCCAAACGTCCTGCATGGTGTTGGGCTGTAAGCACAACCCCCACCTGTGGACGTCGGGCCCTCATACAACCCTCATGGAGTCTGTTTCTGACCGTTTGAGCAGACACATGCACATTTGTGGCCTGCTGGAGGTCATTTTGCAGGGCTCTGGCAGTGCTCCTCCTGCTCCTCCTTGCACAAAGGCGGAGGTAGCGGTCCTGCTGCTGGGTTGTTGCCCTCCTACGGCCTCCTCCACATCTCCTGATGTACTGGCCTGTCTCCTGGTAGCGCCTCCATGCTCTGGACACTACGCTGACAGACACAGCAAACCTTCTTGCCACAGCTCGCATTGATGTGCCATCCTGGATGAGCTGCACTACCTGAGCCACTTGTGTGGGTTGTAGACTCCGTCTCATGCTACCACTAGAGTGAAAGCACCGCCAGCATTCAAAAGTGACCAAAACATCAGCCAGGAAGCATAGGAACTGAGAAGTGGTCTGTGGTCACCACCTGCAGAACCACTTCTTTATTGGGGGTGTCTTGCTAATTGCCTATAATTTCCACCTTTTGTCTATTCCATTTGCACAACAGCATGTGGAATGTATTGTCAGTCAGTGTTGCTTCCTAAGTGGACAGTTTGATTTAACAGAAGTGTGATTGACTTGGAGTTACATTGTGTTGTTTAAGTGTTCCCTTTATTTTTTTGAGCAGTGTATATACAGTGTGTGCAAATGGGGATGAGGTAGTTGGGTGGGCTAATTACAGATGGGCTGTGTACAGGTACAGTGATCGGTAAGCTGCTCTGACAACTGATGCTTAAAGTTAATGAGGGAGATAAGTGTCTCCAGCTTCAGAGATTTTTGTAGTTCGTTCCAGTCATTTGCAGCAGAGAACTGGAAGGAATGGCGGCCAATGGAGGTGTTGTCTTTGGGGATGAACAGTGAGATATACCTGCTGGAGCGCATACTACGGGTGGGTGTTGCTATGGTGACAAGTGAGCTAAGATAAGACAGGGGATTTGCCTAGAAGTGATTTATAGATGACCTGGAGCCAGTGGGTTTGGCGACGAATATGTAGTGAGGGCCAGCCAATGAGAGCGTACAGGTCACAATGGTGGGTAGTATATGGGGCTTTGGTGACAAAACGGATGGCACTGTGATAGACTACATCCAATTTGCTGAGTTGAGTGTTGGAAGCTATTTTGTAAATGACATCGCCGAAGTCAAGGATCGGTAGGATAGTCAGTTTTATGAGGGCATGTTTAGCAGCATGAGTGAAGGAGGCTTTGTTGCGAAACAGGAAGCCGATTCTAGATTTAACTTTGGATTGGAGATGCTTAATGTGAGTCTGGAAGGAGAGTTTACGGTCTAACCAGACACCTAGGTATTTGTAGTTGTCCACATACTCTAGGTCAGACCCGTCGAGAGTAGTGATTCTAGTCGGGTGGGCGGGTGTAAGCAGCGTTCGATTGAAGAGCATGCATTTAGTTTTACTAGTGTTTAAGAGCAGTTGGAGGCCACGGAAGGAGTGTTGTATGACATTGAAGCTCATTTGGAGGTTTGTTAACACAGTGTCCAATGAAGGGCCAGATGTATACAAAATGGTGTCGTCTGCGTAGAGGTGGATCTGAGAGTCACCAGCAGCAAGAGCGACATCATTGATATACACAGAGAATAGAGTCGGCCCGAGAATTGAACCCTGTGGCACCCCCATAGAGACTGCCAGAGGTCCAGACAACAGGCCCTCCGATTTGACACATTGAACTCTGTCTTCCACCATCCCCAGTGCCATCTTCTCTTTGACTCCCTGCAAGACCTCGTGGACCATGTCAACGACTTCCATGTCAAACCTGAAAAGGATTCTGGCTACTGCTGCCACTGGGATGGCTGCGCTCGCAAAGGGCGGGGCTTCAACGCTAGGTGAGCTTTAACTCAGATCATGACTAAGATGATTGTGTGAGATGATTAGCTAACCACTTGAATGGGTCGAACATAAGGCATTTATAACTCCTTCATGAAACCGGTCATAACACCTCTATGAGTGTGCCATATCATTCAAAACTACCTTCGTAACTGTTCATGAAAATGTTATGAATGCCTTGTACCCATTCAAGTACATTGTTACATATGGGTATGCGTGTGTATCTGTTATTATACTCAAGTGTGTGTGTGTGTGTGTGTGTGTGTGTGCAGGTACAAGATGCTTATCCATATCCGTACCCACACCAATGAGAAGCCTCACCGTTGCCCCACCTGCAACAAGAGCTTCTCTCGCCTGGAGAACCTCAAGATACACAACCGCTCACACACAGGTTGGTCAGACACTCAGACAGACAGACAGACACACAGACAGACAAGACACAGACAGACAGACACACATAGACAGATCAGTACAAAATATTGAAAAGATGCACTCACTGTAAAGTCACACATTCTCTTGTCTGCTGTATACACTTGAAAGCATTCATGCAATCTCTAACGCTAAAATAACGAATAAAGTTTATTGAATTGAATAACTTACCTGTATGTCTTTTCTCCTCAGGTGAGAAGCCCTACATCTGTCCATACGAGGGCTGCAGCAAGCGCTACTCCAACTCCAGCGACCGCTTCAAGCACACACGCACCCACTACGTGGACAAGCCCTACTACTGCAAGATGGCCGGCTGCCTGAAGCGCTACACAGACCCCAGCTCCCTCCGTAAGCACATCAAGGCCCACGGCCACTCTGTAGCCCAGGAGCAAGGCTCTCCGGGCGGGCTGGGCTCCCTGCTCAAGGGGGGTCCCCTGGGGGTGGGGATGGGTGGAGGAGGGGGGGGGAAGCTGGGGGAGTCGGAGCTGAGCTACATCAGTGGGGCCCATATCATCATCCCCAGCGCCGCTGCCGCTCTCCTGGGGGGCCACGCTCTGCAGGGCCTGGGGGGCTCCATCCCTCTATCCCCCCTCGGCCCCCGGCCCCTGGACCTGAGCATGCTGGGGGGGTGCCCCAGCTCCCCTTGCACCACCTCCATCCTGTCCTTCAATGGTTCTCCTCTGAGCTTGGCCACCAAGTCATCCCTGGGGCTCTCCCCGGCCTTCCCCTCCTCGGCCCTTGGGCTGGGGCCCACCATGGTCCCTGTGTCCCTAGGAGGATCTATGGGGTCGTCCACCTCGGAGCGCAGGGCCCACCACCACGGGCGTCACTGCAAGGGAAAAATTGGGGGGGAGGAGGGGGAGGACGAGCTCCACCGTGGGGGGGTGCTGAACCTCTCCACGGGGGCCTCCCACGACCCCCTGTCCTGGGTGGTCATCCCCTCTGGCACGGTTGTGCTCAAGCCAGCTGTGGTCAACTAAACACACACACACATTCCAGAGGAGCTCAGGGGGTGGGGGGGGGTAGAAAGAAAATTGACAGGTGAAAAGAAAGAAAGGCAACTTAAACTAAACAACAAAATCCACACCTCAGTTTGTGAATTGGCTCTGACAAACAAATATAATTCATAAGAGAAACGTAAACTGAGGTATCTGGCAGGCTATCTTTGCATTTGTCTAGCATATTTTGGGACCAACAACAACTCAGAAATATATTTCAATCGTGTAATTTTGTATTATTTCACAAGGCTTGAAAAAAAATGCAACAGCGGCCTCCTCACCTCTTCAACCTCATTCTCTGTCTCTTGTCTTATGTCTTCTCACTTACTTACATTTCCTTTGTTTATGGACAGGCTCCATTGAAACGACAGTCTTCTAATGCTCTGTGTCCTTGCTCAAGCTCCACCTCATGTGTATGTATTTATAATGTTCATGTTGACAGTGTGAACTGCGGCCTAGCAGTGAGGTAGACACACAAATGAAACAGTAGGACGCGCTCGCTGCTAGGCTAGCAACACACAGTACGTCCCCATTCCGCTGCTTTAAAGGCTACATAAACTACTTCGTACAAAGTGCTGTGAACACAATTGGACAAACTTCCTGTTTTATCGGAAGTGAAGTCAAACTGATTTAGAAGGGGATTACGGATTAATTGAATGCGGGTCATTGACTGCACCTCCCTACTTTAAACAATAGGGCGGTGCTATTGGATATAGTGTATGGCAATCAGAATGCCATCCACAGGAGCACACGCATTATTGGATGATGTGTATGTCAATCAGAATGACACACAACCCCCTTTGAGTCAGTACATAAACCCACAGCACTGATGGTGTCACCAGCTATAGTGTTGTAACCTCACAACTGCTGCTAACCTCTCAACAACTCTCCTCAAACGTAACCGAAACTAAACGTGAGCACTTTGATGACTATTTTTGACAATCTTTTCCCAATTCGGGGAGGGTGACCATCGTGGACAAGCCCTTTCCACAATGATATGTGACGGGCTTGTCGTTGCAGACTAAGGGTTTGTGTAAGGACACAGAGCAACTAAGGTCTTAGAAGGCAGACAACGGTGTTATATCACCCAGCAAATGACCAATATTCTTCTTCTTCTTCACGGTGACGTCTATGGCATAGGTGTTGTTTTGTACCCCCTAGTGGAAAGGTGAATCACTACGGCCAGTCAGCCTCCCAGTCTCATTCTACCAGTCCAATGTATTATTGTCCACAACACCTCTACTTCTAACTGACAAAGTGAGTTAAGTACTGAGTATGAAAGGCCCACTGTTTAAGTAACACACTGTGTTGTGGTACAGTATTTGAAGTGACCTGTCATAAAAACCAGCTGTGTAAAACAGGTGGTTGTCCAGTGAAGAGAACATTCAAAGCCTGACTTGGAGTCCTGAGTCCTTGTGGAGTTGGTTGTTGGTTGCTGTGTCCCGAGTTCAACAGTCCCACATTGTGCCAAAAAATATCCAGCCTTGAGGGCAGACTGGGTGCTGTGTATCCTGAACCACAGGGTGTGTGACACATTAATGCCTGATTTATACTATAGGGCTGACTCAAACCATACCATGATGGCTCGGATTTTCTTTTCACATTGTTCTGTTTAGCATGGTTCCAACATCATGGCGTAACCAGGCCAGCCAGCTACAGTTAGGCATGGTTTGGCCCTATAGTGTGAATCAGGCTTTACTGCTACATACAGCTGGACTGGTCAGAGAACCACAGCCACACTAGAAACTGCCTCACTTCACTTTTCCAAAGAAGTGGGGTTAATTCACTGACTTTTAGAACAACTTACTTATGTAAAAATCTGTATGGTTCGATTGATGCATTCAACATGCACCTATACCATACACACCAATGTATTTTTTACGTTTTACAAAACATGTTACTGCCAACTTGTACTTGTGACTCTCTGGAAACATTTTGTCTTTCTCTTTCCATCTTCACTAACTTGGTTTTCCCTTCATTTACACTCAGGCTTGAAAGGGCCACCTTTCTCTGTGGACTCTGGGGTCCTTCCACAAGCTTGCGTCGCAGAGATATGATGTATGTAGAATGTTGAGTGAACCCCGTTATGGGGGTATAGGAGGGGAGGTGAGAGGAGCATCTTAACACAAGGAACATTCCCCTGAAGAGACAAATACCCCTCCACCTCTACTCACTCTCTCTCCATCTTTCTTTAAAGGTCTTACATTTCCATTTTCCATGTCCATAGTTTATTTTCCATGATGGTATGTCCATTGTTTTGAGAATAATCACAGTTATGGTTGTTTTTGTTAGTCATTTGTTTGTTCTTTTGTCATTGATGTTCAGACGAGACATTTTCTGATGTTGAAGTTGCTTTGTTTCATGTTTCTTGCGATGGCTGCTCTGTAACTCAGCTTTCTCCCTGGGCTGGCCTGGGCTGTGGATGGAGGGGCAGAAGGGAGGATGGTCCTTCCTGTCCTGAACAGGGTTGTGTTCATTAGGACATGCAACAGAAAACATTTTTTTTAAACGTTTTGCAATGGAAAAGTAGCGTTTCTGAGCATTGGACAAATCCAGATAGTCCCTTCCTTTTTCAGTGCGTTTGGTGCCTAATGAACACGACCCAGGTGAGTGGGGTCAGGGGATGTCCAATTTATTATAATAATAAGACATCATAATCCTCACTGACAATCACACAGTTATAGAAGAGGCCCTGTACAGATCCTCACTCTGTAGAGAGAGTACTCACTCCCTGAGTCCATCTATTGACAGGGTTTACCTCCAGACCCATACACTCCCTGAGTCCATCTATTGACAGGGTTTACCTCCAGACCCATACACTCCCTGAGTCCATCTATTGACAGGGTTTACCTCCAGACCCATACACTCTCTGAGTCCATCTATTGACAGGGTTTACCTCCAGACCCATACACTCTCTGAGTCCATCTATTGACAGGGTTTACCTCCAGACCCATACACTCTCTGAGTCCATCTATTGACAGGGTTTACCTCCAGACCCATACACTCTCTGAGTCCATCTATTGACAGGGTTTACCTCCAGACCCTTACAGTATGTTTATGGTCCTGTCAGAGTGACCATGTGGTCCAGTGGATGGAGATCTGTGGTCGTGGTGGTCTACAGGCCCATAGCTACACAGACTGGACACATTAATCAGTGTCCAATTTACACAGCGCCATCCAGAGGAGAGGATGAGTTCTGAACTTCTGATTGCAAACAGAGGGCATCTGTTAGGGATTGGGTTTAACAGACCTAGGGCTAGACTAGATGAAGGGTTTAACAGACCTAGGGCTAGACTAGATGAAGGGTTTAACAGACCTAGGGCTAGACTAGATGAAGGGTTTAACAGACCTTGGGCTAGACCAGATGAAGGGTTTAACAGACCTTGGGCTAGACCAGATGAAGGGTTTAACAGACCTTGGGCTAGACAAAGGGTTTAACAGACCTAGGTCTAGACTAGATGAAGGATTTAACAGACCTTGGGCTAGACTAGACGAAGGGTTTAACAGACCTTGGGCTAGACTAGACGAAGGGTTTAACAGACCTAGGTCTAGACTAGATGAAGAGATTCCCATGACAAAATTAACTGAGCAAACTGCAATCTGAACATCTAAAATGGTGGGTGGCCTGGAGAGAATGAGGGGGGGGGGGGGGGGGGGGGGGGGGGGGGGGGGGGTTGAGAGAGAGAGCGGGTGGGAGTTAATGGAGAAATGAATGAACAGGGTAGAGAGAGCGAGAGAGATGAAGGGAGAGGCACTTTGCCAGCGAACGAGGGCAGCCAGGTCTGTAGAGTGAGTGCCCCTCCATCTGCCCATCCCACCCTCACCAGGGCCTCTCGTCTCTGAAATCAGTGCCCGCCCCGTTCCTCTCTCTCTCTGCTCCCTGCCTGATGCTGCCAGCCAGCAGGGAAACTAGGTCACTGAACTCTGTCTGCCCTCTGTTTTTTTATATAAATTAAAGCCAAAAGGCTGAACTCTCTCACTCCCTCTATAGCCGGTCAGCGGTCACCACAAAGCTTTTCACCAGAGTAAAAAAACACAAACAGGCAGGCACACACACAAACAGGCACGCACGCAGACAGACAGACAGACAAAAACAATAAAGTATGCACACACAGTAAACAAACCCAAATATCCAGTATAATCCTCTCTGGCTAAATATGTTTGGGGTTTTTAAGGAGCGGGTCAAAATAAATAATGTTGTGCCGGAGGCTGCAGTGCTATCTCTGACAAGCCAAGGGAGGATTTGTGCTGGGCAGATTCACTGCATATTTCTATTTCTGCCTCGGCCACTCTTAATCACTGCGATCACACACACGTGGAGAGTGCTGCACACATGGACACACACGCTATACCCTCCTCTTTGGTGGCCAGTATCGCCATCTCCCTCCAGGCAGGCATGGTAGAAGCCAACCACCTCTGTATCAGTGGACCAACCTCCAGTGTGATTTCAGAGTCAGATGATGTCATGAGTAACATGTGTTAAGTAGGCTAGGTTTCCCTGGCAACAGTGGAATCCTCAGACATGACTGTTCTCCCCAGCCCAATCCCCTCTGTCCTTTCATCCCTTCGTCTCTCTCTCCTCCTCTGTCTCTCTTGCTCATTGAAGCCAGAGAGAGAGAGAGGAGTGTTCTGGTAGCCTGGTCCCAGATCTGTTTGTTCAGTCTGGCCAATTCTTAATAATGACCATAGGAGTTGGCAAGACAGCACAAACAGATCTGGGACAAGGCTAGGGTTCTAGTCTGCTGGGTGGAGAAAGCTGAAATTGACACGGATCCTATTCTAGGTTCCACATATTTCAATATAAAAATAAGCTGTTTGAATCATTAACCCTTTGGGCACGTTCTGTCATGTAATGTTCTGCATTTTTTTGCCTCCCCAGGAGTGTTTATATTATAGGGGATATGCCAATTGCCAACAGTTGAACATGCAAAATGTATAAGACAATTCATTCTCAGTGGGTTGATACGGTTCTGTAATTTGCT